AGAATAAAGTATAGAAAGAGACAAAAGAGTAACTTTATAGTAGGGAAACCTGATGAATACCACCTCCACTAAGTGATCAAGGTTAATATCATCAGTGATAGGTCATTAGCCTGTGCCCTTGATATGATGGGATGAAAATGGCACTTTACCTCTGTGACCTTCCTCCCCAAAACTTACAACTTCAGTCTAATTATGAGAAAAACTTCAGACAAGAGGAACATTCTACAGTATGCTTGACCAGTACTCCTCAAAACTGTCAAGGTCACCAAAAACAGGGAATGTCTGAGAAACTATCATAGTCTAGAGGAGCCTAAGGAGACATGATGACTAAATATAATGTTTTAGATAGGATCCTGGAACAGAAAAAGGCCAATAGGTAAAAACTAAGAAAATCCAAATACAGTATGAACTTTAGTTAATAATAATGTACAATATTGCAATATTGGTTCATTGGTTGTGAAAAATGTACTCATACCATGTAACAGGGGCAACTGGTGTAGAGTGTGTGTGTGTATACATGGAAAAACTTCAAAGATAGTATAGAGAATATAAATCTAGAACTATTCTAAAATAAAAATTAAAGAGAAGAAAGTAGAGGAAGGAATTCTCATTTGTTACTAGTGAAAATGCAAAATGACACAACCATTTTGGAAAACAGTCTGGCAGTTGCTTATGAAATCAGTCATACACTTAGCTTATGACTCAGCAGTTCTACTACTTGGTATTTACCCAAGTGAAATGAAAACCTGTGATTACAGCAACACCAGTACACAAAAACAGCTTTATTCAGAATTACCCCAAACTGGAAGCAATCTAAACATCTCTCAGTAGTGAATGGGTAAATTAACTATGGCATATCCATACAGTGAAATACTACTCAGCGATCACAAGGAACAAACTGCCGAGACATGCAACATGAATGAATCTTAAATGCATTGTGCTAAGCGAAAGAAGTCAGACTCAAAAGGCTCCGTACTCTATGAATCTACTTATATGACATTTTGGAAAAGGCAAAGCTAAAGGGACAGACAACAGATGTTACCAGGAGCTGGGGATTGGGGGAGGAGATAGACCACAAAGGGATATGGGGGGCATATTGGGGGTGATGGAATTATCCTATATCTTGATTATGGTTGTGGTTAAAAGACAGTATATGTTTATCAAAACTCATAGAACTGACACTATCAAAGGTGAATTTTGCTATATGTAAATTATACCTTGATTTAAAACTAGTGGAAAAAAACGACAACTCAGGGGTGATTGGCCACTTTTCAAAATTGCTCTCCAAGGGATTTGTTTATCTAGTAGTCTCACTTATTCCATTTTCAGTGATTGCGTTTCCAACTGTTCAGCTTGCCAAAGGGGCACTTCGGTGGCTTTACCTGAATATCAATGGGCCACTTGCTATTGGAGACTTGGAAGTGGGAGCCATAGTCCAGGGGCAGAAACAGGACAGCAGGGACAAAGAAACAAACAGATGACAGCTAGGTTCTTGTCTTAACAATGGTGACATTAGCTAAGTGCATCCTAATCACTTGCTTTTGATATAATCATGAAGCTGATTACACCTTATTTTTGTATGAGGCCTTATAGTTTACAAAGCTCTATCACAGGCATTCACTCATGTGATCCACACAATGCCTCTGCCATTTAGGTGGGACGAGTTATGTCGTCTCCATTTTTAAAAGGAGAGGAAAGGCCTGAGAGTTCTTACTTGCCTTTGTGTACAGACGCACTAGCATGGCCCTCTCCTTAGGTTGGCTAATTCATATAAAAACAATTGGTAATTTGGTACGATGGATATTATTTTACATATTTTACAAATAAGGAATATCATAACTTTACAGTGAGGGAACTGAGGTCCTGGGAATTCCCCAAGGTCACTTGAGAAAGTTTTAGAGCCAAGGCTTAAACTTGGATGTTCTGGTTCCAAAACAACTTCTCTTTCTCTTAAACCACAGTCTGGTTATGTGAATATTATGCATAGTGTAGTTAAACTAATGGCATTTTGCCATAAACCTTCACATCTTTAATGTGACAGTGAGTGGAGAGCTCTAATTAGCTTCAGTTATCAGAGCCAGTTTTTACAAGTAAAGTTTACTCATTGTCATCTTTACTAGTAACTTTGAGAGCTTGGAAGGCAGTCTGTAATCTTTGTGTTTCTCTCAGCTTCTTGCTTCTGGATGGTGTCGCAATGTGTGAGAACTGTGTATACATTGGAAGCTGTGACTTCCAGAAAAAAGGGCTCATTAATGTGAACTTGAGAGGGGGGGATTTGTCAACAAACACTAGAACGCCTATATCAAAATGAGTGTTTTTCTTTGAGATAGTTGCTTTGAGAGGACATCCAAGTCAATTGCTTTTTAGTTATGTCTCATTTTTAGGCAAAATAGTAACGTCACCTTCCCTGCCAGGGTTAGGTCTGAAATCCTTTCCTTTGCTTCTATGGTGGCCTCTGAGCTCCTCTGGGCAGGGCTGAGCCTTCTCGCTATGTCCTCAGTGTCCAGCACAGAGCCTGGCCCTCCAAGGTGCTCAGACTGTGCTTGTTGAGTGGAACTGAACCAAAAATCATTCTCCAGGACAGAGATGTCACTGCAGGGGGAGGCTGGTCCAAAGTCACCCCTCTTGGCCCCTGACCTGAAGAAAGTGGACAACCACTTGGCAGGAAACCTTAAATAAAACCATCTAGTTGCCTGACTCCTCCCACAGGTTTATTAGTCATCTGCTACAACTGTACTTATATTTGAGCCCATTTCATGTTGGGCCACATTTCCTGCTCCTCTGCTCATACTTCCCTTTACCCCGTTTCCTCTAGGACTGTCCACCTCTGCCTTAAGGGCCACTCTGAACCGGGTCTCACCCTTACTGACTGATGTTTCTCGCCCCTTCCCCTCATCTCAGGGCCCAAGCACAGGTTTTTCTACCTCTCCCTCCTCTGTTCCTCACTCTGGAAGCCTCGTCAGGGAGGAGCTGGTAACATGGAACCTATGAACTGAGTTCTTGCTCTTTTCTACTCACCACTGATATTTTAGAACATACCTAGTGTGGTGGGTTTTAAGGCAGAACCTCTCATCTCTAGGCCAGAGAGCAGACAAAGGTCAAAGGATCTTCAAAACCTTCATTGTAATGAGGGGGGCCTTAGGAAGAGCCCTTGTCATGCACCCCTTTTTTTTTTTGTTTTCAGAATCCCTGTTGAGTGTTGTTGTCTACCAGCCCATTGTCAGTTTCCTTATCAAAATCTTAAAAGAAAATATCCCTAGGGTGAGTGAGACTAAGAATTAATGCTGAAGAAAAAGGGAAGAAGTGCTACTCCCTTTCGATGTTTGCCCTAATTTAGAAGGATATGAGTTGAGTATTGTTCCAGTCCTAATAGAAATAGATTTATATGCTCTCATTCATTCAGTGTGGTCACAGCCTATACCTTGTTCTCATTGTGTGATGGAAAGTCTGCTGGGCTAGGAGTCTAGAGACCTGATTCAATCATGAAGTCTATGAAAAACTGAGCATTGCTTGTTTACATCACCTATACATGAAAGTTCTAATTACTAAATGACTTCAGTCTTAGCACTCATTTCCACCCCCATTTATTAAGCCAGGTCTTTGCATGTGCTCAGCTCCAGACATGCAACAAAAGAGAGACATCATTTCTTTCCTTATTTCCCCACAGGCTCATACCCAACATACCCCTCACCCCCACACTGGCAAGTGCTTCCTAAAGCTTTTTGGTGTGTGGTGTCACTTCTGTCTCCTTAGACTGTGAGCCCTCCAGGAGCAGTGGCCATATCCACGTTCTTCTGTCTCCCCACCGTGCCTGGCACCAAGGTCTGGACACAGTGGACATACAAAGGTTTCTAGAAAGAAGTCTTCTAGGCCAAGAAGGTCCTTAGCCTACAGTACAAGCTTTCAAAGGCTAGATGGCACTGTTGCTAGAGCCAAATCAGGTGTATTCTGAAATAGTGGTGAGGAGGGAGCGAGCAGAGAGCAGGGGGCCCTGGAACACTCACTGGCTGAGTTTGATTCAGACACATTGCAGAAACGTGGGACTCCTACTTTACCAGCACAGAGCTCTTTACCATGTTCGTGGCACCTTTGGCTGCAGATGGTCTTCACAACAACCTTGACACTGTGTCAATTCTAATTTTATGGAACTGCCACTCAGAGAAATCAAGTGCCTGGACTAAAATTACATGGCAGTTAATCAGCAGAGATTTTTACCACTCATACCTTGTTGGCATTACCCGACCACAGGAGGGTCCTCAGAGTATGCTGAAGGAGAACTCTGGCCAGAGATATGGTTGTCCCAGGAGGGTGGCCTGGGTGAACTGGACCCAGCCTGAGGGGAAAAGGCAGGGTTCTCAGCCAGACTGACTGCAAAGCATCAGCTTAACCTGTGCATTGAAGTGTCTGCATATGTGACCAGGGGAGAACACAGTCATTTTGGAATAAACAAATGGCAACACATACAGTTTCTTTGAAGAACAAAAATTGTGGGCGGTTTGTACACTTATTAGGATCTAAGGTCAATGGTTGATGTTTTATTTAAAGAATGATCGATTTTAGGATGCTGCACTGTGGTTGGGTTGTACCTGTCATTTTTCAGTTGCTTTACCATAGTCACATGCTTCTCATGAAAACAAAACAAAGAAAACCGTCCTGTGCAGCAGGCAGGACGGGTGTCACAGCTGTGCCCATTTTATGATGAAAAAATAGAGGGTCAGAAAAGTTAAGAGACATGTTCAAGATTGCACAGTTGATAAGTGGTTGAACTAAAACTTTAGCCCAGTATGAGGCTGAAATCAAATCTTGTCCTCTTTTCACCATAGTTTTTCCAGGCTTTCTAGACTTCAAAAAATTAGGAGAGCTGTTGCTGATGTAGAAGGTAAGGCATCAGAGACTAGAAAAATACCTATATAGAGTGGTGAATGATTAATGATAGGCAAATTTATGCAAAACTGAGAAAATTAACATCTGATTGTCTCTGCCCTCCTGTTTCTCCTCAGGATGATGAAGATAAGCTCACCTGGAAAGATCGTTTCCCAGGTTACCTGATGAACTTCACCTCCATCTTGTTTATGGTAATCTCCTTGAGGGAACACCTGCCTATGACTTATGCATGTTAGATCCTGTTAAATGAATAATGTGGATATGTTATTCTATATGCTTTGGGAATAACGAGGGGTTAGTAAAGATGAAGCCATAGTCTCTGTGTACAGGGACAGGATCTTATCTGAGAGTGAGGCCATTGCTGGTATGAGTCACATGAAGAGGGGAAGATGATTCCCTCAAATCGAAAACCAGACCTGGGAGGGGTCAGAGAGCTTCAGTGGCGGTGGAAAGGGTTTCTATCTTCTCAGAAGGAAGAGGGTAGAAGAGGATTCTATCTTCCCAGTCTTGACCACAGTTGCAACTTCCAGGGGGTGGGTTGTGAGATGGACCAAAACCTTGGAAGAAATAATCAGGTAAGATGGCTACAGAATTGTGGCAGCCTGTTCAGGCTGTGGGCTAGCTCCCTCTGATGGTTTGTAGAATAGAACAGTCTGGAAGCCATAGAAGGTAGCCAGCCTGAGCTTTAGAAGCTGATTCTTCGGTTTCCCTATAGTTGCTATGGTTATTCCTCTGTGTTCTCTTGGAGAGTTTGAGAGGCCCCTTATGAAGGACCCAGGTGGTCTCAGCTGTGTCAGGGAAGGCAAGGGAGGTGTCTGGTATTCATATTTGAGTCAGATCAATAAATTGGTAGCAGGTCATGCTTGGAAGCGATGGACGAGCCAACAGAATGTAGGATATTTGCAGCACCCCATCTTGCTGAAAATAACAAAAGGTGAAACCCAGAGGACTGAGCTTAGATCACTAAGACATCTGCTCCCTCTTTATGGGTAGACTCCTTCTAGGATTCAAGACTGGAGCTTCTGTTTTACAAAGGAGAGTTGTGTCCTTACAGCATTTCTCAGCAGGACTACACGTTAGTTGTGGGGTCGGGGAGAGATTGCTTATTCCAACAAAAATGGGACTGAAATTATACTAATTTTCTGGACCTACTGGCCACAGGTAACTCTGCTCCTGGCCCTAGGTTATTGCCATCATGACCATTGGGGATGGAAACCATGTCCTCGTCTCAGAAATTTAAAAAGTGAAGGAAGCATCTAATTCAACAACTTGTTTCACAGATGACGTACAGGGGTGATGGGTGTCTTCCAGAACTTAGAAGTCTACATTTGCTTTTTTCTCATTGCTTAACCAGAGCAAGGCATCTAGAACTTACTCAAGCACATGTGGCAAATTGCCATGTGTTAAGCTGGGATGATATAAAGTTTAATTTAACACTTCAAAGCCTCATACAATATGCATATTGTTGTCAGAGTTTCTTCATTCATTCAAGAAATATTTAATGGATGCCAACTATGTGCTTGACACTATTTTTAGGCTTTGGAGATAGAACAGGAAATAAAACAAAATATTCCCTTGAGAAGTTTATAGATAAACAAATGCATACATAAATAAGAAAATAGATAAGCAAAATAGATTTCTATCTCTAGTAGTGGTAGAGTGGGATATTTGTAACATCCCATATTGCTGAAAATAACAAAAAAAAAGGAGAAATATATTTTTCAATCTTCTTCAAGCTATGAGGGGCAGACAGGATAGTAAGGAATACTAGGCTGAACTCTGAGGGAAAATGGTAACTGCTTTTACCTTGAGAACATTTTTCCATCTAGGCCAAAGGCTTTGGGTTTGGTGGTTTTATGGGGCTAGGAGGATAGGAATCAGAGGGAATAGCTGGCTCAAAGTGGAGATTCTAACAGGAAGTTCTCACCAAATTAAATTGGAACTGCAAAGGGCTATACTCTCAGAATAAAGATGAAATGGAGCTAAACCCACCCCTCGCAACTTATGGAATTGCAAAGAAAATTAGGTTCTAAGTAGAACAGGGAGAAGAAGGGGAACAAAACCCTGTTTCTCAGAAGTGGCCATGGGCAATCCCATTGTAAATTCACAGCCAGGTTCACCAAATGAGAGGACCAGGGCAGGCCCTAGAACCGTGTGTGGAACATGAGACCAACCGGTCAGGGTGGTGTTTATAAAAGAGTTGTTTTTCTGTGATGGAATTTGGGGAAGCCAGAGTCACCTACTGCAACAAACTCCAGTGTCAAATATCGTCCCCTCTTCCACCTCCCGTGTCTACACCTTGGCAGAAGATGACAGGACCAAGGCCATGGGGATGGTTTTAGGGATGTCAGTCTGCCAGATCAGCTGGGGATATTTTTCATGGCACGACAAGAGCCAGGAAACACCCCATGCTGCATCCATCTTCCCCATCATGATAGAAGCCAGCATGGGCAAAGATAAATTTTCTCTTCCTTCTCAAACCCAGTATATTGAGCTGAAGTGTTTTTTCTTTTCGAATTAACCCTCTTTTGGTTTTCTTTTTATATGGGAGGGGATTGTCAGAGGCAATGTCCTTCCTCTCGAGCTGGGAGCCAGAGCTTTCCTCCCATACCCAAGACAGTCATTTACTTATAATTGTGTGTTAGGACCCAGCCATCCAAACCCTTCTTCAGTCACCTGGATTATTGCAATGGCTTCCTAACTGAGCTCTTTAAAATCTAGGTCCAATCATGTCACTTCTCTCCTCAAAACTCTCTAAAGTCTTCACATCTTGTGAGATGTAGAAGCCAACAACCTTATATTATAGGGCTGACCCTCCTATTTTCCACCACCCATCTCCTGCTCCAACTCTCCCCTTGCTCAGTTAGGTCCTTGCTGAAATGTCACCTTCTCACCTAGGCCTTTCCTGACCACCCTCTTTTAAATTGCAGCCTTTCCCTATGTCCGTATTCTGCTTTATTTGTTTCCATAGTATTCCCCACACCAGATATACTATTGGGTTGTCGGAAAAGTCATGATGTAGTTTTGCAATTAAAAACATAGAAAAAAATACATCATGACTTTTCTGACAACCCAATATATATTTTACCTGTTTATTAGTTTATTGTCTATCTTTTCCCCACTAGAAAATCAACTCCATGATGGCAGATATATCTGTCTGTTTTGTTCACCAGTATACCCAACACCTAAAACAATGACTGGCACATAGTAGGTGCTCAAGACATGTTTTGTGAATGACTGAATGGGAAAATAATTAAGCAGATGCCAGAGACAACTTATCACATCAGCGATAAAGTCATTGGTGTGTATATATTTTTTTAAATGATGCTACTCTCACATGCCATGCCCTAGACCAGGCACTCTTCCTACTAGTTGCTTCTCCTAGAGGTTGCTTCCGCCTGCGAGTTTCTACTTGCTCCCCCTTATTCTCTCCTCCAAACCTGTCCCGTAGGGAACAGTCCCAAGGCTGCTTCCACGGAGTTTCCTCTAACTAATCCCCCTGCTCTCTGCTCAGAGCACACCAGAAGCTTGTGAACTGAGGCCTATGACTCTGTCCAGCTATTGCTAGGCTCATCGTTGTTGTATGTGTGTGACGTTTTTTTTCAGCTTCACTTCAGAATACAAGTCCTGGAGGGTAGGGACCAGACCTGCTTTGCTTCCTGTCTCTCTCTCGTAGTGTCAAATCGGACTCTGGACCCTTTAGGCTTCCACTGCAATTTGGCTGTGCTCAGAAGTAAAGCTATGGAATTAAAACACCAAAAGCAACAGGGACCATGATAATGTGACCATGTGCCGGGAGCTAGATTGCCTAGAGCTGAGGATCAGCAAATCTCAACCAAACAAGTTCCATACCTGAGGCACCTCTGTGAAATGGCAGGAGGCACAGAATGCAGCACAGATCAACCCCCCACTTTTGGCCTAGTTGGGGGAGACTGGTCACAAACATGAAATATACCCAGCACTATGGTTTGTACAATAAGTGGTTGGAAAAATTTGTTGAAATTAATAAGCAAAACCAAGAATGCAGCCAACGTGGTGAAAAAGTACTGGATTTAGTGCCAGAAGAAGCGAGTTCTAATGCCAGGATGGGATTGCAGGCTTTACAGGCATAGAGCAGGGCTCAACTCCTGCATCTACAAAAGGCATGTCTTATGTAGTTGTTAAAAGGATTAGGGCTAGTGATGATATTCATTGAATAATGACATCAAGAGGATACTCGTGGATCAGCTGTTATTAACGATGATGTTATCACCATGAGTATCTCAGCTCTGCCTTGCACCCTCCAGACCTTGGACCAATCACACTGCTGTTTCTTGGGCCTCAGTTCCTTGTACATGAGATCAGAGGCTAGACATGGTTGGTCCCTAAATGCTAAAATTCTTTTGATTTCTACCATGATCCAGGAGACTGGGGTGGTAGTCCATGCCTTGTGACCTTGAGTCAATCGCTTCGCTTTCCATGCCTGTTCCTCATCTGCAAAATGGTTGTGGGACTGGTTTGGTGCTGTCTGAGCTCTTCCAGTTTGCAAACTGTGAATCTTGAGATGTGTGTGGAACCACCAAAGGAGAGGTCCATAATCTGATTTCTATAGTGGGATGGAAAATTGAGACCAGGGGAGTTAAGATCACAAAGAACAGCATCAGAGGGCTGGACAGGGGCATGTTAGAGGTGGGCTGGGGAGGTAGAGAGGGTGGCAAGAAGGCTTTCCTACGTGAGAAGAGCAGTACCTCTGGAACTTGAGTAGAAATCTTGTTAAAGTGCAGNTTGCTGAAAATAACAAAAGGTGAAACCCAGAGGACTGAGCTTAGATCACTAAGACATCTGCTCCCTCTTTATGGGTAGACTCCTTCTAGGATTCAAGACTGGAGCTTCTGTTTTACAAAGGAGAGTTGTGTCCTTACAGCATTTCTCAGCAGGACTACACGTTAGTTGTGGGGTCGGGGAGAGATTGCTTATTCCAACAAAAATGGGACTGAAATTATACTAATTTTCTGGACCTACTGGCCACAGGTAACTCTGCTCCTGGCCCTAGGTTATTGCCATCATGACCATTGGGGATGGAAACCATGTCCTCGTCTCAGAAATTTAAAAAGTGAAGGAAGCATCTAATTCAACAACTTGTTTCACAGATGACGTACAGGGGTGATGGGTGTCTTCCAGAACTTAGAAGTCTACATTTGCTTTTTTCTCA